TTTGCCCCACGGGCACCGGGTGCGCAGGGGAAGCCGCCTCTTAGTCATCACCACAGGGAAGGAGAGAGGAACCAAGCTGGGAAAACAAGAAGTCACCGGCCACCAGTGCCTGTCCCCAAAGTCATGCTGGTCCCTGAGGAACTGTGCTGCCTGGGGGGTGTGGGGGCCTCCGACAATCAAACCCAAGAATTAAAAAAAAAAGGAAAGAAAAAATAGCAAGCAAGAAAGAAAACACATTTTAAAAGGAAAAACGAGGAGGAGGGTTTGACGTGTATTTTTAGTTGCTTAGCGCAGCCCTGAAATATTTCGGCAGCCACTCCCTCCGCGTCGCAGGCGGCTGGTGTGTAACTATTCCTGTGCTGCCTCCCCGCCGAGGCACAGAAGTTATGAGTCACCAGCAATGCCACGGCCATGCCACAGTGCCAGCAACACGGCCCCACGTCTGCCCGAGCTGCCACCGACCCAACAACCATGAAAATACCCCGGGAAGGGAGCAGGGAGGGTTTCCACAGTGGCCTTTGCTGGGTTCCCCCCCAACCCAGCCCGTCTTTCCGGCCGGGACGCGTCCGCCCTGCGCACACCCGCCCACGCCGGCAGCGAGGCTCAGACCTTTTTCCTCCTCTCTCTGGTTGTTGCTTTTATCTCGCTCCTCCCTGTTTTGGGTTGTTGTTTTGTTTGAGGGTTTTTTTGTTTTGTTTTGGGGTTTTTTTAAGCCATGATTTCCCTCCCTGGGCTGCCATGGGGCACAAAACAGCCCCAGACACCCGTTTTTGGGGCTAAAAAGGCCCAAAGCCACAGATGAGTGTTGCATCAACACCCCAGCTTGGTGCCACTCTTCCATGGAGCCATCTTCCACCCAACCCACTGCCGTGTGAGGCTGATTGCCCTCGTAGGGTGCAACTTGGGCTGAAAATATCCCCACAGAGGTGGAAAAAGGAAGAGGGAGGCACACAGGGAAGGCTGCTAAAGCCCTTGGTTGTAATTAAACAAAAGCAGAACTTAACGAGCTCCAATGCCTGACCCCAGAGCTACGCCAGGAGATAAGGTGGACTTGGAGGACTCTACCCTGAGCTGAAGCCAAAGGTCCCATTGTTGCTGTGACGATTTATCTGGCCAGAACAGACTTTAAATCCAGACAGCGCTGCGGTCGTTTCCTTTTTCACCAAAAGCAGCTGTAACACACGGAGTTTCTGTGGCTGGAGGGACTCGAAAAGGGAGGGGAGCAGGTTGGGAAGGGAAAGTCTGACACAAGGCTCAGGCTGGGCTTTGTTAAAATGCCACACTGGTGTTTATGTTGAGACTTCAGTTTCCAGGAGGGGAGGACACGTGTGCCCCGTTCCCATCGCCTGGAATCGGCTCTCTGGGAGAAGCCGGCTCGCCTGGGATGGGGATGGAGCATTGGTGCTGCTGGTTAATGCCTCGTGGAGGACAGGAACACACGGCTGCTGTTAGAAACCAAAGCTTTAACCCATCTGCTTGGGGGATTTATTATTTATACCAGGGCTTGAGGCTTGAGCAAGGGTTTAGGTGAAGCTGGGTGGCTGCAGGAGCACATGGGGTCAGTCAGGGCTCAGCAGAGAGAGAGACAGACAGGGAGTGGTTTTGTACAGGTTGGTGATTTATTCCTACTCACCACTGTGCACAAGTTCTAGAAACATTAAAAAAATAAGTATATATAAAAGCATGTTCTTTACTCATTTTTCTCCATACAGTGGTGATGGCAGAGTAGGCTTCAATATGGGGAATCAGTTGTAAAAAAACCCAAAAAACAAACCAAAACAAACAAAAAAAACCTGCTCAGAACAAGTCACAATATCAGCTTTTCCCCTAAAATTAAACTGTTTCATCCACCCAAGGGGTTGAGGTTCTATTTTCCCTCTGTGCCCCAATTGCAGGCATTAAATTCAGATTAACCAGGATATTTTGCAAGTGCATTTTGCTCATGGGACCCTGCACCCCATGGGATGGAAGACTGGAGCAACCCCACCTGGGAATTCACAGGAGCTTTTTTAACCTACAGGAGGGACACGCTCACCCGCTGCTCTGTGTCCCCAGGAAAAGATCATCTGTTCTTAGAAAAGGAAATGACAAGTACTTATAGTGAAGTCAATCACTAAATACCAGAAGAAATAGACTTGAGAAATATTGTCAGAATTCAGGATTTCGTGTCACAGGCACAAGGGAGAGTTTTCAATGTGTGTGGGGGGGGGAAATAAATCAACTTAAGAGCTCGGTTGTTTTCAGGAAAAATAAAATAAACTCAAAGAAGAAGATGAAGGGGACAGCAGCCTTCTGCAAGAAAACACAGAAAACCCTTTCCTTTAAAGGAAACTTCTAATCTGAAGTCAAATTAGTAAGAGACTAATTGGGAAACTCTCATTTAGCACAAAGCTGTCTTGGAAACAACCCTTGAAGGCCAGTGCAATGTTCCTCCCACGTTCTCCCTTAAGTTGTAGGAGACAGAATTGACTGGCCAGAAAGAGAAGTGATAGCTTAAAAGTTTGTTGTTCTTAAAAAAAAAAAAACCCCAAACAAACCCTTAACACTACTTATATAAAGTTACAATCTCTTCAAATTCAGTGTTTTTAACCCAAAACACTCGCATCTGTTACAAATACAACAAGTTTCCCCAAGTTTCAAGTATGAAAACAAACAAACAAAAAAATCCAAACAATCCAGAAAGCATTTGCCTTCATTCTTACACCACGGGACATGGTTAATCTGTTAAATTAAACCTGGTGACCCTGAACAATTAAATAGTGCTGTCACTCTCAGGAGAAGGCAGAAATTAGGTCCTTAACCATGAATTATTATTATTATTATTATTTTTTAAAATATTTCCAATGACTTGCTGACTACAAGGAGCCAATAACTCCACTCTACCAGATTAAATTGTGAGGGGTTTGCAAATGACATGATTTGGGCACGGATCAGCTGATGGACGAGTGGAAAGGGAAGGCTTTTTTTGGCCACGTGGCAATCCTGAGGTGATAAAAACCCAACGGCGTGGCAGGACTGTCCCCAGCCAGGCTGCAGACAGCTTCTCATTGCTTTGCTGATTGTCTGCCTGGCTTTTTTTCCTGTTGACCTCTTCCACTGCCTGGTATTCCTCGACCACGGCCACCAAACACACCTACGGGACAAAAAGAAGAAGAGCAGATGGAACAGTGTCACTGTAAGCCACCAACATCCCTCAGAACTTTAGTTATTCATGTTTTACCCAAACACACCTCTATTTTCTACTCTTAGAAGCAGAAATGGGACTTTTTGATTTCTCCTTTACCAGTTCCAGACTCTGTATTTATGATGAGCATGAACTTATTCCCCCTCACCAGCGAGCTCAGCGATGCCTCCCCGGGGCACTATCAGCCTAAATTGAAGTTAATGGCTGAAAAATAGAACCAAGGAAACAAAGCCGTGTTTTAAATCATAGAATGAATCCCAGACTGGTTTGGGTTGGGAGGGACCTTAAAGATCATCCAGTTCCAACCCCCCTGCCAGCAGCAGGGACACCTTCCACTAGACCAGGTTGCTCAAAGCCTCATCCAGCCTGACCGAGAACACTCCCGGGGAGGAGCAGCCACAGCTTCTCTGGGCAACCTGGGACACTGTCTGACCACCCTCACAGTGAAGAACTTCTTCCTAATATCTCATCTAAACCTCCCCTCTTTCAGCCTAAACCCATTTCCCCTTGTTTTGTCATTAACTGCCCTTATGAAAAGTCCCTCCCCAGCTTTCTTGTAGCCCCTTCAGGTACTGGGAGGCCGCTAGAAGATCTCCCTGGAGCCTTCTCTTCTCCAGGCTGAACAGCCCCAACTCTCTCAGCCTGTCCTCACAGCAGAGCTGCTCCAGCCCTCGCATCATCCTGGTGGCCTCCTCTGGACTTGTTCTAACTGGTCCATATGCTCCATCATAGACTGGTTTGTGTTGGAAGGGACCTTAAAGCTCATCCAGTCCCAACCCCCCTGCCATCAGCAGGGACACCTTCCACTAGACCAGGTTGCTCAAAGTGGGATGTAAATCCAGTGGGATGAGCAGGTTATACTGTATCCCCTGAAAGCTGCAAGAGGAAACCAAAAGGAATGAATAATGTGACTCGGTTTGAAGATTGTTCAGCTCTAAAACAGAAAAAATACATCCCTCTGTCACCGCCTCGCAGCTGGGCAGAGCGATCCACCGCTGCAGAG